AGTGGGCAGGAGGGACGCTTTGATCAAAGTGGGCAGGAGGGACGCTTTGATCAAAGTGGGCAGGAGGGACGCTTTGATCAAAGTGGGCAGGAGGGACGCTTTGATCAAAGTGAGCAGGAGGGACGCTTTGATCAAAGTGGGCAGGAGGGACGCTTTGATCAAAGTGGGCGGGAGGGACGATATGATCAAAGTAGGCAGGAGGGACGCTTTGATCAAAGTGGGCAGGAGGGACGCTTTGATCAAAGTGGGCAGGAGGGACGCTTTGATCAAAGTGGGCGGGAGGGACGATATGATCAAAGTAGGCAGGAGGGACGCTTTGATCAAAGTGGGCAGGAGGGACGCTTTGATCAAAGCGGGCAGGAGGGACGCTTTGATCAAAGTGGGCAGGAGGGGGTCAGTCAATACAATCAACTCTTTGATCAGTTGGCAGAGGGATCATTCAAGTAACTGGACGCTTTGATCAGAGTAGGCAGTGGGAAGTCAAGTAGTCGGACGTACTGATTAAACGGGTAGTGGTCGGTCAGGTAGTCGGACATACTGATCAGAGTGGGCAGTGGTCGGTCAAGTAGTCGGACGTACTGATCAGATTGGGCAGTGGTCGGTCAAGTAGTCGGACGTACTGATTAAAGTGGCCAGTGGTCGGTCAAGTAGTCGGACGTACTGATCCATGGGCAATGGTCGGTCAAGTAGTCGGACGTACTGATCAGAGTGGGCAGTGGTCGGTCAAGTAGTCGGACGTTTTGATCAGAGTGGTCAGTGGTCGGTCAAGTAGTCGGACGTACTGATTAAATGGGCAGTGGTCGGTCAAGTAGTCGGACGTACAGATCCATGGGCAATGGTCGGTCAGGTAGTCGGACGTACTGATCAGAGTGGTCAGTGGTCGGTCAAGTAGTCGGACGTACTGATTAAATGGGCAGTGGTCGGTCAAGTAGTCGGACGTACTGATTAAATGGGCAGTGGTCGGTCAAGTAGTCGGACGTACTGATCCATGGGCAATGGTCGGTCAAGTAGTCGGACGTACTGATCAGAGTGGGCAGTGGTCGGTCAAGTAGTCGGACGTACTGATTTAATGGGCAGTGGTCGGTCAAGTAGTCGGACGTACTGATCCATGGGCAGTGGTCGGTCAGGTAGTCGGATGTACTGATTTAAGTGGGCAGTGGGCAGTGGTTAGTCAAGTAATTTGACGAATTGATGAGTAACAGAGAAGTAAGAAAGATTTTTGGACGTATTGATTAAAATCGCCAGCATAGTCAGAGTGCATATTCGAAATCTAGCCAAAACTTGCACTTATTTCTGTAATAGTTTAATTTATTAATCAGGACGAGTTGGTCAAAGTGAATATCGGAGTTAAAAAACTACGTGCACGAATTTTTCAGAAGTTTTATCTAGCGATATTTGCGAACGGGTCAGAATGGACACTAAGAAAACTATTTAATTGGGTCGGCGTAGTCGAGTCGGTAAAGCTCATGGTTGCTAAACCGAAAAGTCTCGAGTTCGAACCCTCGGGCAGATGAGGCTCGATCCCTTCCAACACTAAAAATTAAGAAGAAGAAGAAAGAATTGGACGAGTCGATATGAGGGCATAGAAACCAGACTCATTCACAGTTTTAAGGTTCTGTGGCTTAATGGGTGAAGCCCTAATAGTGGTCATGAATAAAACTTATTATAATTGAATACAGTAACTATCTGTGCGATACAGGGCTTTCCTTTTGTTTATACAAGCATTTATTTAACTCACTTCCTCAGTCTTGAGTCGTCAGTCAGTCGTCAGTCTGTCTGTCTAGATCGAAGTGCCCGAGCGAAATTGCAGGCATTTCTAACTGACAGATACGGTTCCTAGTTAGTACTTGGTCAAGACATGAAGACAATGCAGAATGACATTAAATTTGAATTAATTGGTCGCCTGATTAATTTTTTATGAATTAATTTTAAAAATTTAAACTACTCTGATTGATAACATTATGCTTAATATTGGTAATGCAACATAAAGACCATATAGCTTATCCTAATAATTTATTTATTTATAAGACGCGCTACTTACACGGCGAGCAGATATATTAGCTGGAGCTTCAAGTCTTCTGTTCCTTGCTCTTCTTTCCGAATCGGTAATTAATTAACTAACACTAATTAACTTCACGGTTTCTGCAGCTCCGAATGAGGTACAGACCCACGGTCACAAATAAAATAACCCAGTTTACAATAGGAGATTAAGAATAGGATAATCGCCATACAGGGTGGTATTGTTATATTTTACAATTATTACCTAAATCCAATAGGGGCGGCTTGATTAAGTCCCTAAATTTTGGCAATAATCCCACAAAGTTCCAAATCATACTGATTTTTTAAATATTTTCGTTCTATTTGTCTGACAATATTTTGTGTTTAGTTTTTCAAATCACGTGTTTGTTTCATCAGTTCAATAACATATTTGTTTCATCTGTTCATTTACATGTTAGTCTTCTGTTCAATTACACGTTTCATCTGTTAAATTACATATTTGTTTCATCTATTAAATTATATGCTTGTTTCATCTCTTAAATTACATGTTTGTTTCATATGTTAAATTACATGCTTGTATCATCTCTTAAATTACATGTTTGTTTCATCTGTTAAATAACATGTTTGTATTAATTGTTGAATAATGGTTAAGGCGTTGAATTTTGTTGGTTTACTTTTGGTGCTGGTTTGTTGAATCAACGTATGCGGTCTGTTATCTAATTCACATATTAATTTTGTTGCTGCATCACATTTTTGTTGTTTGATCTTTTGTTTCTGGAATAAAATGTTTGTTCAGTTTATTTCATTTTAGCTATTTTTCAAACGACATTTTCTCTTTTTTTATTAATTCAAATGTTTGATCTTTTTGTTGACTATCCTGATTTGTTTTGTTTAGTTTCGTTAGTCCAGTTGTTACTTTCTTCAGTTTGTTACACACATTTTTTTTTAGCGTTGAATCACATATTTCTGCTAAGATTGTTCAAACTTGAGTTAGCTATTGTTATCGTCATCTTAGTTTACTGATCACATATACAACTTTTTTTTTCTAAAACATAGCTTCGCCTACTCTGGTTCTAATGTGTGGAACAACCTTTCTAATAAAATAAAACTATACATGAAAATATATTCAAAACTTAACTCCCTAACAGACTCATTGCAACATTTCTCATGCACCTATTATATTCTTCTTTAACGCATTGTGTATTATAACTGTGAAATATTATTTCTTTATTCCAAATGTTTGAGTACATTGTTACTGCTATGTCTTTAGCACTCAAACGATTTTTTTGAATGCTGTTATTACGTTGTTGTTTTTTTTTTCTTCCATAAACCGCCAATGTGAAAATGGCATTAAGAACATTGAATATATTGAATACATTCAATACATCGAATACATTGAATATATTGAATACATTGAATACATTGAATACTTCGAATACATTGAATACATCGAATACATCGAATACATCGAATACATCGAATACATCGAATACATCGAATACATCGAATACATCGAATACAATGAATACATTGAATACATTGAATATATTGAATACATTGAATACATCGAATACATTGAAAACATTGAATACATTGAATCCTTCGAATACATCGAATACATCGAATACATCTAATACATCGAATACACCGAATACATCGAATACAATGAATACAACGAATACATTAAATACATCGAATACATCGAATACATCGAATACATCGAATACATCGAATACAGTGAATACATTGAATACACGGAATACATCGAATACAACGAATACATCGAATACATCGATACATCGAATACATAGAATACATCGAATACATTAAATACATTGAATACATTGAATACATTGAATAAATTGAATACATTGAAAACATTGAATACATTGTATTACATGTTGCTTTTTTTTCGTTTTAGCAATTACGTGTTTGTGATTTGTTTGTCAAATATATTTTTTGTTCCGGCTGAAGAAATTTTTTTATTGAATTACCTTTTACTTTATCGCTTACAAAGAATTTCGAAACTATTTCAATCGTGTGCAAAGATTAAATGAAATTTCGAAATTTTTCCATGTTTTTACACTCTTCTTTATCAGTAGCCGTTGGTACCCGTTTCACGTGAATTATAGGCCTATATATATTTTAATGTTCTACTTGTTTTTATTTTATTAAATTTTTTTGGTAAAAACGCAATGTATTTTACTACACGTTGAACGATAGTTACGGAGCAAAGAAATAACTAAATAGCTAAAAATCCGACATATTTACAAATAACAAAGGCTACCAATACATATTAGAAAAATTAAAACAAAATAATATACACTACTAATAAAAAAGCACCATATTAAATGCACACTTATTAAGAGACACAAATGATTCCTTTAAAAACTGGCTGTGATTCTGAGAATGTAAATGTGCGCACCTTAGATAAAACAGACCAGTTAAGGCTGACTTATTTAGTCTGTGGTTATAGTTAGTGGAGTCTAAAGCTTCTAGATAGGGTAAACTATCCACATATTTGTATAAAATTTAGAATAGTGTGTCAGTCTGTCATCAGAAAATATCCTTGATCTTCGCTAAGTTATGGAAAATTTATTTGAGTCTAAGTCGACATATACTTTTCAAATTCGAATGGTCTTAACTTCTCGATGGGTATATACATATAGGGAAGCCTTATATTCGATAAAACATTCTTTAATACAAATTAAATCTTCTGCAGGGGGGAAACACACCATTCGTTTTATCTAACAAAGGATCAAATGTTACTTAATAAAAACGGTCACCAAGTAATGGTCCGAACCGAGTAAATCTTTTGCCTTTTAATAAAGATATCAGTAGAATGAAGCATTGTAATGAGTCTTAGAAGACTATATTTTAAGCCCTATACAGCTAGGGTTAACATTTCCAATGTATAGATGAATGGGTGACGTCATCGTTTTCCAAAGATAGAAAATGTATCCTGCCTTTGGGGGATTTCGTTTTCCTATTTTTTTTTCAACCGTGTTCTATTTGTCTGACCGCCATGTATAATTAATGAGTACATAAATAAATAAAGAAATTGGATATGTGATTTACCAAAGAAAATTAATAGTTCTTAACTGAAATGTATATATATATATATATATATATATATATATATATATATATATATATATATATACTATTTATAATTACACAGTCCATATTCAAAAATTGATTCTTTTTTATTCATTTATCTCATTGGAATTTCGACAGACAATTACTATGGTAAACGGAATTATGAGACTACATTGATTTTTTGTATTTTGATACTCTAATTCCTTCTGTTCATGGAGATGTCTAATCTATATAAGAGCGTGATTAACAATCATGGACAATTAATCTATAAGCTAACTCTTCACCTGTTACATGGGATTTTGCCTGCCCCTATATGTACACTAGGATTTCCAACAAAGAAGATTACCGTATCGAGCGGATTCGTGGGCCCAATGTAAACAAATCCTTATTTATCTTTGTTCAAATCTGAATCTTTTATTAAAATTGTAACTATTGTGTCTTTTAATACGTATTGTTATTTTATTCTGTACGTGGTATTAGGTAGCGGATTATCAATCTATAATCCAAGAGATGAAGTTAGATAATATGTATTATCATTGGGATAATCCTATGCAGGTAAGACAACACATGTGGTATTGAGATAATACCTGCATTTGCTTGCTATCGGGCTAGAAGATTTTAACTTCGAATAAACTTGGATTTGATAGGATAAAGAGAATTTTAGACAGCTATGCCGGCGATGTAATGGTTTAGGTTCAGGGTTTAAAACTAGCTACGACAGCGTAGTTAGGGTTAGGTAGGATGGTTGTGTTATTGTAGAGTTATTTGGGAGGGATGGTTTTGTTGGTGTAGAATTATTAGGGTGGGATGGTTGTGTTGATGTAGAACTGTTAGGTTGGGATGGTTGTGTTGGTGTAGAACAGTTAGAGTGGGATGGTTGTGTTTGTGTAGAACTGTTAGGGTTGGATGTTTGTGTTGGTGTATAGTTATTTGGGTGGGATGGTTGTGTTGATGTATAGTTATTTGAGTGGGATGGTTGTGTTGGTGTAGAGTTATTTGGGTGGGATGGTTGTGTTGGTGTAGAGTTATTTGGGTCGGATGGTTGTGTTGGTGTAGAGTTATTTGGGTGGGATGGTTGTGTTGGTGTAGAGTTATTTGGGTCGGATGGTTGTGTTGGTGTAGAGTTATTTGGGTGGGATGGTTGTGTTGGTGTAGAGTTATTTGGGTGGGATGGTTGTGTTGGTGTAGAACTGTTAGGGTGGGATGGTTGTGTTGGAGTAGAACTGTTAGAGTGGGATGGTTGTGTTGGTGTAGAGTTATTTGGGTGGGATGGTTGTTGGTGTAGAACTGTTAGGGTGGGATGGTTGTGTTGGTGTAGAGTTATTTGAGTGGGATGGTTGTGTTGGTGTAGAGTTATTTGGGTGGGATGGTTGTGTTGGTGTAGAGTTATTTGGGTGGGATGGTTGTGTTGGTGTAGAGTTATTTGGGTGGGATGGTTGTGTTGGTGTAGAACTGTTAGGGTGGGATGGTTGTGTTGGAGTAGAACTGTTAGAGTGGGATGGTTGTGTTGGTGTAGAGTTATTTGGGTGGGATGGTTGTTGGTGTAGAACTGTTAGGGTGGGATGGTTGTGTTGGTGTAGAGTTATTTGAGTGGGATGGTTGTGTTGGTGTAGAGTTATTTGGGTGGGATGGTTGTGTTGGTGTAGAGTTATTTGGGTCGGATGGTTGTGTTGGTGTAGAGTTATTTGGGTGGGATGGTTGTTGGTGTAGAACTGTTAGGGTGGGATGGTTGTGTTGGTGTAGAGTTTTTTGGGTGGGGTGGTTGTGTTGGTGTAGAGTTATTTGGGTGGGATGGTTGTGTTGGTGTAGAGTTATTTGGGTGGGATGGTTGTGTTGGTGTATAGTTGTTAGGGTGGGATGGTTGTGTTGGTGTAGAATTATTTGGGTGGGATGGTTGTGTTGGTGTAGAACTGTTAGTGTGGGATGGTTGTGTTGGTGTAAAACTGTTAGAGTGGGATGGTTGTGTTGATGTAGAACTGTTAGAGTGGGATGGTTGTGTTGATGTAGAACTGTTAGAGTGGGATGGTTGTGTTAGTGTAGAGTGTTTTGGGTGGGATGTTTATGTTGGTGTAGAACTGTTAGAGTGGGATGGTTGTGTTAGTGTAGAGTTAGTTGGGTGGGATGTTTGTGTTGGTGTAGAACTGTTAGTGTGGGATGGTTGTGTTGGTGTAGAGTGTTTTGGGTGGGATGTTTATGTTGGTGTAGAACTGTTAGAGTGGGATGGTTGTGTTAGTGTAGAGTTAGTTGGGTGGGATGTTTGTGTTGGTGTATAGTTATTTTAGTGGGATGGTTGTGTTGGTGTAGAGTTGTTTGGGTGGGATGGTTGTGTTGGTGTAGAGTTGTTTGGGTGGGATGGTTGTGGGGTTGGGTGGTTCTGTGGTTATATGGTTGTGTGGATGGGTGGTTGTGTGTTGTGGGGTGGTAAGATGTGGTTATGTGGTTGGGTGCTTGTGTTGTTTTGTTGTTTTGTTGTTTTGTTGTTTTGTTATTGTGGGCGTGACGTGTTTTGTTTGTTGTAGGATTTATGTGGTGGTTGTGGGGTCATGTGGTTGTAAAGCTGTGGGGTATGCAGTTGTGACGTTGTGTTGGTGTTTTTGTGTGGGTGTGTGGTTGTGTGGCTTGCATAGTTGAGTACTGACCACAATATCGTAGGCTACACTTGAAATTAACTCTATTATATAGGCCATCTGTTGTAAACGTTTTTATTATTTTAAGATCGCAGTCTCTTGGCTCATTCATTTTTTCAGTCGTAAACCAATTTTAGAAACAATTTAAGGTAAAACCAGGCTAAATCAGGCAAAATAAAAATCTGAAGCTATTAATAGACTATTCATCGTCACCTTTGCCATTCTTTCCCAAAGTCCTCGGCGTAGAAAGGAATATTGTGTCTAACAATATGCCAAGACGCATTGGTTGACCTAATGTAAGTCAGGTACTCATCAGAGCTGGGTGGACTCAGGGACATCCAGCAGCCTCGAAATCGAGATTCGAACGCGAGACTTGCAGATAAGATGCCTTATGTTGTACCATCCGACCACACCGTCTTATACCGGTAGATAATAATTATAGTTAATTGTTTACTTTATTTAGTACATATTGTACAGACAATTTAAATACATATTAAAAAATATAAGGAATACACATTGGATATACTGAGTTTATTTTAATATTTTAAAAATTCCTCTCTGACGTTCATAGTCGTGAAGCTTCAGTTTTTTGCCACTTAGCCGGCATCTGGGAAACAAACCAAATATTGAAATATTGAAACGTTTCTAAAGTGTATTTGTATTGTATTTATATATATATATATATATATATATATATAATTATATATATATATATATATATATATATATATATATATATATATATATATATATATATATAGATATAGATATAGATATATATATATAAATATATAGTTATATATCTTTAACAAATAGCACACAACTTAAACAATAGAAACATGGACCCATAATGGGAAAAGTTGGACAGCAAATAATAGGTCTGAGATAGAAGGAATATATTACAGAAATACTAAATAGACCTCCAACAGCCCAAAACATTGATATAACACCAGGTCAAAGAGAACTGAAAATTGATACTGGACCCATACAGATATCAGAAGTGCCGAACAATTTCTGAAAACAAACAGGATCGTGTTGGTGCAGAAATGCTTAAATTAGAAACAAGAGACACATCAAAAAGTAATCTGTAAAATTTTGCAAGAAATCTGGAGAATGAAAATCTTCAGCGGAATGGAAAACTGGTCTGATAGTCAAAGTGCTAAAACAAATGGAATTTTTTAAAACTGCTCCTCTGAAATTAAAACACATTTCTAAAGCCGTGCAAGCCTCTGCAATCATTCAATCATTCAAAAAACTTGGCGATTGAAGAAAATCTCCTCCAAGACCAAATGTAGACTTTTCAAAAGTAATGCGCTTAGCCAGGGGCGTAGCGAGGGGGGGCGGGGGGTGCGGACCGCATCGGGTGACACCATTTAGGGGGTGACACCAAGGCGAAAAATAGCAAAATATATAGAGAAAAACTCGAGGGGGGGGGTGCAAATCGAAAGTTTGAGTGGGGGGTGCAAATCGAAAATTTGAAAGTTTGTCCCCGGGGAGGGTCTCAACGCCTCTGGGGGGTGACACCATTAAGTGCCGCACCGGGTGACACCCGACCTCGCTACGCCACTGCGCTTAGCGTCCTACTGTATGGCGGCGTATGCTAGAAAGTAACAGCCGCCAGGGGCAGATCACTTGACACTTTCCAAGAAGGATAAAAGGCATACACTGGCCTAAAACCATTGCAAATAATATAATCATTGGAGAGATGGAAATGAAAACAGTTTCCATATTAATTGAAAAAAAAAGGATGGCCAGTGTTTCTTCCAGACTTTTTTCTCCGAGGGGGGGGGGGGACACTTGAAATTTTCCGGAAGGGGGGGGTAGACTTTTTTCGGGGGGGGGGGGGGGGGGGGCGGACACTGTTAAAAGTATATATTTTCTATATAAATTTCATTTCGTTCGGGGGGAGGTAGACTTTTTTCCTGGAAGAAACTCTGATGATGGCGATGGATGAGGCACGTCATAAAAATGAATTTAGAAGACATCGCAGTAATGGCGCTAAACGGGACACCTCGAGGAAAAAGAAAACAAGAAAGGCTAAGGGAGACGTGGAAGCTCACAGCAGAGAATCTTCTGCCAGAGACAGGACTGTGATGGGGGACTGCCAAGAAAATATCTGGTGATAGACAAAGAAAACGAGCGTTATGTGGCGGCCCCATGTCCGAGGATAACCCGCGGCACATCGCACCCTACCGGGGCGCCGGCGGAAGCGCTTAGGTTTGTTTAGTGAACGACTCTCAAACCCACTCTAATGCCTATTTTTTCGCAATGTTTAAAACAGATGTAGGCGTCTTATCGATCACAGGATACCCCGGGGCGTCAAACTGCACCCTCTAGGGGCGCGGCGAACTTGCCTGATTCATTTTATTGAACGACTTTAACGCCCTATTTTATCCCTAGCCTATCGCGCTGTTTAAAACGAACTTGGCGCAATGGGTAAGCCAGGGGCGCCGAATCGCTTCCTGCCAGGGCGCCGGAGGACGCGCATGATTAGATAAAGTCAATGATTACTGTTGCCCATCATGTCTTAAGTGTATAGCCTTTTTTTAAACGAATGCAGGCGCCATAGTGCTCACAGGGGAGCCCGGGGCGCTTCGCGTCTCCCAATAGCCGGGGCGCCGGCGGCTGCACCTATTGAAGTTTTAACGCTGAATATAGTATTACCCCTTACCCGCTCTGGAACTCTAGGCCCAAGCCGTGTATTGACGAAAGTCGCAGCCTCCCGGCCGAAGCACACGAGACATTTTAGTGTTTTTTTTTTCGCAGAAATTTTATCGGGAGTATTTTACATATACTCCCCAACGTTTCATGGCACACGCATGAAATTTTGTATAAACCGTATATAGAGAACAATCGCATCCTCCCGGGTCGCCGCCCTAGCGAAGTTACATATGATGTTTTGAAGAACCCTGCCTGGATTGTTCAACTCCACAAAGTTTCATGGCGATCGGATGACCGGTGTGAACAGCAATCGACTTTTTATTTTTTTAATATCGTATATAGAGAAGAATTGAATAGTGCACCTCAAGGGCGCCATCCCTGCGAATTGAATTTTATTTTCACAGGAACCTCCCCAGGATTATTCTTAACAACTTCCCAAAATCGGATGATAGGTGTAGTAATGCATATAAGAAACATACACACACAGAGATACACATACATTGCTGTATATATATGAATATATATATATATATATATATATATATATATATATATATATATATAAATTTATATATATATATCTTTAAATTTGTATATGTGTATTTCCGCATTGATACTTATGTGTTTAGATAAGTGCCTATGAGAACATGAATATATTTATGTATGTATTAATGTATTAATATGTATATGAATTATGAGCATTTAGGTATATGTCTAATTGATTTAAGTAGGCCCTATATCATTTTTTAAGTATGAATGCATACTTTTATATATTTACCAGTTTAAATCAAAATATTAGAATTATTATATGTGCATTTATATATATTATTTCCCATTGTGTCGACTTTAGGCAATTTAGAATTTAAGTTTACCCTGCTCTGCTGATGCTGCATCTTCAGTTGCTGTAATTGGGTAATTTAATAAAAACGTCGGTGCTTCATTTTGTTCTGCTGTGGGTGCGGGTGGTATTTCCACTGAAAAATATATACCTGTTTAGGCCTACATATAATTGTGGATTTTTTTTTAATAGCAATAGACAGCCAACAAAGAATGAAATAGTAAATAGTCTATATTACTCAGAAAGTTGAAAAAGATGAAGAAAAGGCCTATTTTTACAAGTTAGTACTTATTTCGCAACGTCTGATTGTTTGTTTGTGGATTTGTGCCAAACATTTACTTAGTTTCGACCCACTCCATTGCAACGATTCAGCTTAAAAATTTCAGATTTCTTCATCGATAACAGTGCAAACATTTTATCTATTTAGTTTAATTAGAGGTTTGATTTCTCATTAAAATTACTTCAAAGATGATATTTAAAATAAAAAGCGAAGATAACTAACTAGATACGATTATCCGAATAGCCTGCTTTATTTTTAAAGTTGCATTCCTAATATTGGTTACGATAAGTATAACAGCGTTTACAATTTTATGTATAATAGTTAGTTGAGAATTCTTTCGTTGTCCTATCTGAAGTGTCATTTTGTAGTTTCATGTCTTAAAAGTTGATTGGGAAACTATCGTTGTTCTAATTAATTCGTCCTGTCCTAGTTTTAGGGATAAAAGTTGATTAAGAAAACAATCGTTGTTCTAATTAATTTGTCCTGTCGTAGTTTTAGGGATAAAAGTTAATTAAGAAAACTATCGTTGTTCTAATTAATTTGTCCTATCGTAGTTGTAAGGATAAAAGTTGATTTAGAAATACATCGTTGTTCTATTTAACTTTTCCATTCGTTGTATGTTGAAATTTTACGCTGTGATATAGTTAGATTAATTTGTCAGAAACGTTTTAGAATTTACAACTTAAGTTTACCCTTCTCTTCTGATCTTGCTTCTTCCGTTCTTGTAAGTGAGTCATCAAAAAAAATTGTCGGTGTTACATTTGGTTCAGCTGCGGTTGGGGGCTCTGATGTCACTGAAAAAAATTTACCTCTGTTTACATTAATGTGGAAAGAAATTTATTTTTACAACAGCAATCAACAGCCTAGCATTGGAAGAAATTGTAAAGGGCCGATGCTCCACTATATCTGTGACGTCGGCTGCATTGGAGTATCTAATGTAAGACAGGTACTCATCAGAGCTAGATGGACTCATGGAAACCAAGTAGTCTCGATATCATGATTTGATTGCGAGAATTGCGAATTAGCGGCCGTGATTTCTACCATCCGACTACACTGACTTAAACCGGTAGATAATTATCATACTTAATTTTTTTACTTTATTTAGTAACCTGGTTTATAGAACTAAAAGAAATTTAAAAAAAATATAAGGAATACGCTTTGGATATATTGAGTTTATTTCAATATTTAAAAAATTCCTGTCTCTGACGTTCGAAGTAGCGAAAATTCAATTTTTAGCCAACTAATCGGCAGCTGGGAAACGAACAAAATATTGGAATATTGAAACGTTTCTAGAATGTATTATTCGTATTAATATATATATATATATATATATATATATATATATATATATATATATATATATATATATATATATATATATATATATATATATATATATATATATATATTTAATGAAGTAGCGTCTGATTTGTTTTCATTTAAGTAACTCAGTTTTAGAAACAAGTTTACGCGTCTAAAAAAATAATACATTGTTAACTCATTGTTGAATCTCCTTAAATTATTGCTTAAATTATTGCTTAAATTATTGCTTAAATTATTGCTTAAATTATTGCTTAAATTATTGCTTAAATTATTGCTTAAATTATTGCTTAAATTATTGCTTAAATTATTGCTTAAATTATTGCTTAAATTATTGCTTAAATTATTGCTTAAATTATTGCTTAAATTATTGCTTTAGTCTTTCTTCTAAAACAACCGTAAAAATTTTTTATTCGAACCAGTCATTCAGCACTGTTGAATTGTTATTGCTACGATTGGTTAATACAATTATTTAAATACCTTCCTTGCAAAAAAATAAATGATTTTTTTTCAAAAATTGTGTTCAAATTCGAGTAGCAAAGGTGTGCGATTGTTTAAATAAATGAAGTAATCAGAAACAATGAAAATATTCACAATATATGAAAAATTTAAAATAACTGACTTACTAATAATATACGAAGTATTCAAAATATATAAACTAATCAAATTGCATGAACGATTTAACTATTAATTCAATTAAAAGTTTTAATATAAGAAGTATTCTTAACACACATACTATTGTAATTGCACAATCTGTTCACAAAACATGAACTATTCATAATGCATATACTATTGAGGATACATGAGTTCATGAATTTATTTGAGCGAATCAATTTAAATAAACACATTGTGATGATAATCATAACCGGTTACTTACCCTGGCACGCCAATTTAACTAGAGATCCTAACGAGTCGCCGAGAGCTTGGTAGCTGGTTGCCATGATAACGTTGTCTTGAGTGCTAGCAACGCCAATCAACTCCTCATACGATAGATGCCTGCCTATACCAACTGAGATAATGCTGATGCCGTTAGCCTTCAGCTTACGTGCTTCGTCTAAAGCTAAACAAAATCAGATCCAGATTCAAAGGAAACGGTTATGTTCATATTGTTCAAAAAATATTACTTTAGTATGAAGAGTACTGTATATTCTCATTAGCATCCGTCTTATGTATATATATATATATATATATATATATATATATATATATATATATATATATATATATATATATACATAAGATATATATATATAAATATACATTTATATATATACATATTATACATATATATGTATATATATATATATATATATACATATATACATATATATATTTATATATACATATATATATATATATATATATATATATATATATATATATATATATATATATATATATATATATATATATATATATATATACATATATATATATATATATATTTATTTATATATATTTTAAATATAAGTTCCTCCTCTCGCTCTCTCTCTCTCTCTCTCTTTCTCTCTCTCTCTCTCTCTCTCTCTCTCTATATATATATATATATATATATATATATATATATATGAGTGTTTCTGTGTGTATGTGTGTGTGTTTTTGTAATTTATATGCTCCCGACTTATTTCTTTTTAACTATTCAAATAATCATACAAATCATATAAAATACATTTTTTTTTAAATGTCAGCCAACGGAAGATCAAAGAACGCTTTATCCATAATTCATCAGAAGCAATTTTTCCCTAGTGTTTATTGATTGTTGTGTTTTCATGTTGGTAGTTAACCAGCCCACAGCAATAGTTACGAGATTGCTGAAGGGCAGGAATTACAAGCTACGTATCTGAAACCCAGTTACAAAATACCACAAACCATCATTTAGGTGATTTGGAAAAATAGAACAAACAGTGTGTTGCGAAAATGAAGAGACATGGTACTAACTTCTCAAGGGGTTATTTGATTTCCCGTCGGTCATTACAATTACAAGCTTAGGGGCGTCATCCCTACCCCCAGAGGCAGTGCCAAACATATTTTGTGTCATGATATAATTTAGGGCTTCGTGCGTGTACGTCCCGGAATGTCGAGGGTATGGAACTTTTTTCAGGTTCTGGAAAAATGGGAAAATCGGACAGATAAGAAGGTGACCAATATAAGTAGGCAACAACTGTTTCATTCATATTAATTTTTTGTTCTTTTATTTGAATAATTAGTCATAGATCCTTACAAAATCATTTTTTTATTCTATTATTTAAATTATCAGGAATACATGCATTCATCATTATATATGCTGTTATTTCAATTACAAGAAATAAATGTCTATATAATTAGTTTGCTATTATATTATTTAAATTATCAGCCAAAAATGCCTACATAATTAATTTCTATTCTTTTATTTAATTAATTAGACATGAATGCCAAAAATCATAATTTTTATTCTTTTATTAACCCTATATTACATACTGTAGCAATATGGCAACGTACCGTTTTGAAGACACACAAATGTTTAATTTTACAGATACACATTAACTATAGTATTTCATCCCTTTATTATAATCTCCCTTACAAAATAACTTCGAACTCGTTTTAGTAGAAAAAATTAGCCACAAATACTTACATATTCCAATGAAGAGTGACTCGTGTAGTCCTTCAGGTCAAAAATTTTGGTAGGATTCCGGTGAAAAAGTAACGCAGCAAACCGGACATTATCCGGACCGACATGAAAATAATGTGTGATGTTTGCCGCCATGTCAGTTTGATGCACCCAATTGGCCTCCCCTACACTGCTGGATGCGTCCATCACAAGAATTATGTCGGCCTTGTTGAGTGTAGTGCACTTAGAAGCTGAAATTGTTTAATACTAAACTTTAATTAGTGAAATATATATATATATATATATATATATATATATATATATATATATATATATATATATATATATATATATATATATTATATATAATATATATATATGGTATTTATATATATATATATATATATATATATATATATATTATATATATATATATATATATATATATATATATATATATATAATATATATATATATATATATATATATATATACTAGGCATACTGCCTAGCTTTGTTTAAATTTTCAAAAAATCTTTTGAGAATTTGAATTCTTAATAAACTGGTTATTGGCTGTCATGTTGTGTGCTTAGGTCCCAAGCTTAAACAGTCTGAGTAATTTCATCTCATTCAAACATTGGTGGACTATTCGCAAACTTATTACTCGCAAGGTTATTAGCACTGCAAAGGCTTCCTTAATAGTATAAATCAAATATTATATTAAGGCACTCCACGGGTCCCAATATTGATATTTTCATGAAATTTATCTTATTTTTTTTTGTAAATTCTATACAAATAATATCTAATAAATCATTTTCTATTGATGTTATTTTTTAAAAAAATTCTACAAAATTTAAAAATATTATTAAACTGGGGTTGGGTCCTTCAAAAATGCTGAAAATCGAAGTACATTGTGCTTAGATACCCCATGTAAAATACTACACTACTACGCCATGTTTGGTATCGATCGGAAGCTTAACCTCTCACCCGGCCAAAGGTTACATGTTTAAATTAACCTAAAGAGGACGTGACGTCTATTAGCATAGTAAAATTGGAAAAAGATCTCTTAGTTAAGAATTCTTTCATTGTCCAAGCTAAAGTGTCCTGTCGTATTTTTATGCATAAAAGTCGAATGAGAAATATATCGTTGTATGTTGAAATGTTATGCTGTGATGTAGTTAGATTCATTTGTCAGAAACGTTTTAGAATTAACAATTTGATTTTACCCTTCTCTTTTGGTGATGCCACTTCCGTTACTGTATGAGAGTCATCAACAAAAATTGTCGGTGTTACGTTTGGTTCAGCTGCGGTTGGGGGCTCTGGTATCACTGAAAAATATTTACCTCTATATACATAAATGTGGAAAGAAATGTATTAATACAACAGCAATCAACAGCCTAGCAGGGGTAGAAATTGTAAAGGCCCTTTCCTCGAATGAAGGGATAATGTGAAGAGCGATTTGCCCAGCTGTCAAAACTATTCCTAAGATGAGTTGGATACCTAACAGAGTTAAGTGGAGTCGGGGACCATCTACTGACGACTTGAACCAGGATTCGAACTCGATGCTTTAGGTTAGCAGTCTAGCATTCTACCGCTAAGTCTAGGCCGTCAAAAATAAATTCTACTACCCTTGTCCCAAGGAGCGTAAGGAAGTAAAAAATAGTGGACTATTATCCTGAGGTATATGCCACTAGATAATGAACTCCCTGATGATAGTTTTTTGTTACTTACTCTCTTAGGGATGGGTAGCCACACAATGGTAGTTAAACTAAAATGCTGCACAACTACATCACGAAATCCATTTTCATTAGGTTTAAGGGAACGCCAAGCACTAATAGCTGGACTGCTAACTCGTAAGTCTCGAGTTCGAATCCGGGTTAAAGTCAGTAGACCGTCCCTGAGTCCACCCAACTCTGATGGGTACCTCACTCACGTTAGGGAAAGCAAAGCATAGTGCTGACCACATTATCTCTTCATATGCCGAGGTCACAGAACCAAGTTAACTCTACCGTCAAGTTCTCTGGTTCTAATTTGTGGAACAATCTTCCTAATAAAATAAAGCTATCTAGATCTGAAAATATATTCAAATCTAAACTAAAACAACAATTATTTAATGACCTCTCTAACTGACTCATTGAAACATTTCTCATTCATCTATTATATTCTTTTTTATCTCATTTTGTATTATAACTATGTAACATTATTTCTTTATTCCACATTTTTAGTGCTATGTTACTGCTATGTGTTATTGAATTGTTTTATTTGTTTAATGACCAATGTTACAATTGTTACCGTTTTTTTAATAAATTTGAATAAATTTGAATAAATGTGAATATTTGAAAAGGGAACGTTACTTTTTTACTTTAAACGCTAATGCTGCCGATATAGTTGGCACATACAACAGTATGCAAAAAGAATAAAAATAGAACATTGCAGATATGCTAGGCTTATATGGTACTGGCCACTATTAGATTCTTTTGGTAAATTTAATATCAACACTTATAAAGGGCTCAATATCTCAATTAGCTTAAGGCTTTCTCCGGTCTAAATCCCGACTAGTGAAAAAAAAATGTATTTCGATCGCTATATGTATGTTGTATTAGTGTGTCTATTTAAACTGTGTGTTTTACATTCACCCTCCTCCGTTGTTGTTCTACTAGTTGTTGTTATAGTTGTCGATGACACGGTTGGATAAATCACGTGTGTTGCGTGTGGTTTTGGTGTCGTTCTGGGTGGTTGCGCTGAAAAAAAACTGTTGCATTAGTTGTTGTTAAAAACTTTTTAACAAAAATTAATTTTCATTTTATATAATTTACTTATACAAATATATATGATATATATATATATATATATATATATATATATATATATATATATATATATATATATATATATATATATATATATATATTTATATATATATATATATATATGATATATATATGATATATATATATATATATATATATATATATATATATATATATATATATATATATATATATATATATATATATATATATATATATAAATATATATAAATATATATATATATATATATATATATATATATATTTATATATATATATATATATATATATATATATATATATATATTAAAAACAGTTTTAAAATTCAGTTAATGTGTTGACTAAATCTTTTTGACAAAATTATCTTAAAGTTCAGTATGGTGTGTGTGTGTATATGTGTGTGCGGTGGAGTGGAGTGGTGTGGTGTGTTTTATGACTGGTGTGTTAGGTGTGGATTTGAAGAATGTTTCTTGGGACTGGTTGAGGTTATGGCTGATATGTGCGGGCCGGTGATTGCAATGATTGGTGTTTATTTTTGAGGTGCCGTGTTATTTTGCGAATGTGAATTGTTGTCCGGTGTATATATGGGTGGTTGGTGATGCGGGGTTATGTTGGGCGCGAGGTTTAGGTTGTTTTGTTTGTGGTAATGTAATGTGTTACTTCTCCGTCTGTAATCATCATATCTTATTACATATAAAACGGAACAATTCACAGGCATGTATATGGTATAAACCTGTTTGTTAAATGCTAATTTGGACGTTATTTCTGATTTTAACTCTAAGTATAAATTTTATTCTTTAAAATAACTTTTAAAAAACAGTTTTTCTTGTAATTTAATTTTTTTATATATGTTTACTTGAAATATTTCCAAATATTCTAGAAAAAAAAAATGTAACATTTATAAAATTATCTATTATTTGGTTATACATACAAAGAAATTAAAAATCTTACAGTTTGGAGATTGCGGCATTTGAGAGAGGTTAAGGTTGATCACTTGGAACAGCTTCAGTTTTCCCTCTTTCTCAGTCTCTTTCTCATTGTAAACGTTTCCTATTCCGGAGATGAGGACAGCACCTTTGCTGGATATGCTGTAGTCTCCGTTACCTAGGTGACGGTAGCTACCTTCCCCTGAGTCTCGAAAATAACCGTTGCCAGAGTGACGGAAATCCCCATCACCGGAAATGCTGAATACGCCGTCGTCGGAGACACGGAAATCGCCATTTCCGGCGACGCCGAAGTGCCCGTTCCCAGTCGAATGGTCGTTCTCTGAGTCAACTGAGTCAATGTCGTTCGTGTTTTCTGAAGTGCGAAAGTCATAGACGCCAGTCCTTAGTAGGTTCGTGTCACTTGAGTCAACGCGCCGACCGTTGATGAAATCTCTGGAGTTTGTCTTACTTGAAATACTTCGTGGTATGTCATGTGTGGCTACATAGCTGCCAGTACGGAAATTTCGATCTTGATCCGAGGTACCAAATCTAACATTAACTGAGGTGTGAGATCGATCGTTATGTGGATGTCGAGGACGGCCGCTGTTTGGATACTTGACACGAGCAGTTCTTGTCTGACTTGAGTCAAAGTTACTGTAACCAATGGAGTTTCTCTCAGCCGAAGTGATAAGTCCACCGTTAACTGAAGTGTGGGTTCCATCGTTATCTGAAGCACGGAACTTGGTGTTTTCTGGGGTGTGGATTCGATCGTTGTCTGAAGCACCGAACAGTTCGTTAAATAAAGTGTGGGTTCGATCGTTACCTGAAGCACCAAAATGTTCGTTAACTGAAGTG